CCCCCGGTGACAGTCTCCTTGGCGGAGCCCCCGGTGACAGTCTCCTTGGCGGCGCCCCCGGTGACAGTCTCCTTGGCGGCGCCCCCGGTGACAGTCTCCTTGGCGGCGCCCCCGGTTACAGTCTCCTTGCCGGCGCCTGACTCCTTAGCAGCACCCTCTGCAATCGACTCCGTGCCGGTGCCCCCGGTGACTGTCTCCATGACGCTTGTCTCCATGACACTGACAGCCTTTTTCTCAGCCTCCTCATCCTCCTCATCATCCTCCTCGCTGTCTGAACTCCCAGAGGAGCTGCTGTCAGAGGCCACTAGGGGCGCCTTGAGGTTGGAGCCGATGGCCCACGTGCAGGTTGCCCCTGTCAGAAATGTGGAGCAGGGTGAGACACTGGCACAGGGAGGACTTCACACGCAGAATCACCTGCCTACATTCAACCCATGCTGACTGGTCATCGCTGAGCTCACACCGACCAATCAGCCAGGGCCATGAACCCTAGGGACCACACACACCCTCCGACACTCACGGCTGGTATCTGCATCGTGCTTCGGGCTTCCTTCTGCGGAGGGCTGGCACTCTGAGCTGCAGAAAGAGGAGCCGCTTTATCACCCCACAGCACCTTCATTTAAACCCGAAACCCAGAGAGTACTTCATTCACCTCAAACAAACAGTTCTCCCTGGTTTTGTGGACACTATAGTTTTCAGGGGTATGAAGCAGCATGACACATGTACCAGTGCTGAAATCAGAGCTTCTTGCTTATGTGTTTGCAAGCAAATCTGTGTTCTTCAGCATCCCACAAACACGCCTGTCCAGAGCTCGAGCCTGTGCCGGACTCACCGCTGGAAGGACCGAAGATCCGTGAACCTGGCCCAGCCTTTGTCGTCGGCACCTGGCTGGGGGCTGGCTGCCTCCCACGTGCCTGATTCCATTTCCACCGCTGCCCGGCTGAGCGGCGCCTTCGAAGTCAGGAGGTCCTCGAAGCTGGCTGTCCATCCCGGGCCTGCTGGGGGGGCGCGTAGGAGGAGGCGTGGGTCAAACACAGGCGTGCAAAATGTGAGTGTACCCCAGACCAGCAGCCCGACCATCTATTTGCAATAAACTAATAATGATGATGATGGTGAGTGCTACCTTACTGCTGTGCCCACCCTGTACGCACTGCCATTATCTGCACCAGGAGCTGAGGTAATATGTTAAACTGACTGCTCACACTGAACAAATGAGAGCAGGAAGCAGTGACCCAGGTTGCTGCCTGCTCACTCACTTTCTGGGGAGTCCATCTCCGAGTCCTGCCCGTGGACCCTGTTCTTGTGATTCTCGGCGTGGGCACCCCCTGTTCGGGACTCCTTGCCCTCTTCCCCATTCGCAACGTCACCCTTGGTGATGTGGGAAACCCCAAACCTGTGTGCGGTGTGTGTGGGGGGGGGGAATTCAGTTAGTGGTCAGTAGGACAATGGAGCACCATTATACTGGGTCATGAAGAACAAGCAAGCTGTAGACAGCAGAACTTCAAACACAAGGAACAATTTGGGTTTGCTGTTTTGTGGCGACTCAGTTTCTACTTGGCAGCCAACGTTTCGCTCATCATGGAAAACTAAAAGTTAAACCATTTCAGATCCTCCCCTACACACAAAGCGAAATTGTCTGTGACCGTCAAGCACAACACAAACATTCTGTGGGTCTTTAAATGTTGCCCTTCTCCCAGGTGACACCTCATGGTGTTTTACGGCTCATTGCACCATAAGACTATCATGGAAACACCCATTGAACAGCAAAATGACTCCCTCTAGATGAGAGAAAGGGAGATGGTGAGGCAGACAGCTCAAACAAACAGATGAAGTGGATATTAATGCAACAGCCAATTCGGTGCTGGAACCAGAGGCCAAATCCTTCAACTTGAACAGAGAGGAAGTTGTCAATGAAAAATGCCAAAGCAATGACTGCTGCTTTGACAGCAGAATCAAGGAGAGGGAAGGTCACCAGTTGAGATGCTGACGCAGACTTGAGAGACAGCAGGCAAAATCCAGCGTGCTAAAACTCTCGGCAAACAGCAACGCCGAAAAACCTACCATACTTCAATATTACCGACAACTCAGCTGTCATCATTACCGGATCACCCTCCACATCAAATTTGGATAACATCTTCTACAACATCCGCATTACCGCAGCCAAACCAAGCAAAAAGCAGCCACAGCGAGAATGGTCCACAGAGATGGACGAAGTATCCACCATCACCACCATAATCGAGGTCAGTGTACTCGAGTCCATCAACAATAAACTCTCCATAATGGAAATATTACACGTAGACATTAAAGAATGATCCAATGATCCCAGGAGCTATGTTTGCCTGGGGCTTTATGCCCCTGGTAGGGTCACCCAAGGTAAACAGGTCCTGGGTGAGGAACCAGACGAAGTGCGGTTCACTAGACCCCTTATGAAAAGAAAATCATTGGATTCACGATTGAATTCACGATGGCCTGCACCCATGGGGCCAGGTCTGGCACAGCCCGAACAAGGCACGTGGGTCCCCCCTCCAATGGGCTCACCACCCATAGGAGGGGTCATAGGGGTCGGGTGCAATGCGAGTTAGGCAGTGGCCAAAAGCGGGGACCTTGGCGGTCCGATCCTCGGCTGCAGAAGCTAGCTCTATGGAGGAACAGTGGACCAGCTCTATACTCTCAGTAGGGTCTTGGAGGGTTCATGGGAGTTTGCCCAACCAGTCTACATGTGTTTTGTGGACTTGGAGAAGGCATTCGATCGTGTCCCTCAGGGAGTCCTGTGGGGAGTGCTCCGGAAGTATGGGGTACCGGGTTTCCTTATAAGGGCTGTTCGGTCCCAGTATGACCGGTGTCAGAGCTTGGTCCACATGGTCGGCAATAAGTCGGACTCGTTTCCGGTGAGGGCTGGACTCCGTCAGGGCTGCCTTTTGTCACCAATTCTGTTCATAGCTTTTATGGACAGAATTTCTAGGCGCAGCCAGGGCGTTGGGGGTGTCTGGTTTTGTGGCCTCAGGATTAGGTCTCTGCTTTTTGCAGATGATGTGGTTCTGTTGGCTTCATCGGACCGTGACCTTTGGCTCTCACTGGGACAGTTCGCAGCAGAGTGTCAAACGGCTGGGATGAGAATCAGCACCTCCAAATCCGAGACCATGGTCCTCAGTCGGAAAAGGGTGGAATGCTCTCTATGGGTTGGGGAGGGGGTTCTTCCCCAAGTGGAGGAGTTTAAGTATCTCAGGGTCTTGTTCACGAGTGAGAGGAGGATGGAACGGGAGTGGATTGGTGCAGCGTCAGCAGTGATGCGGGCACTGCATCGGTCTGTCATGGTGAACAAGGAGCTGAGCCAAAAGGCAAAGCTCTCGATTTACCAGTCGATGTTCCTACCCTCACCTATGGTCATGAGCTGTGGGTAGTGACCGAAAGAATGAGATCGCGAGTACAAGCGGCCGAAATGAGTTTCCTCCGCAGGGTGGCTGGGCTCTCCCTTAGAGATAGGGTGAGGAGCTCGGTCATTTGGGAGATACTCAGAGTAGAGCCACTGCTCCTCCGCATTGAGAGGAGCCAGATGAGGTGGCTCAGGAATCTGCTTAGGATGCCTCCTGGACGCCTCCGTGGTGAGGTGTTCCGGGCATGTCCCACTGGGAGGAGGCCCCGGGGAAGACCCAGGACATGCTGGAGGGACTCTGTCTCTCGGCTGGCCTGGGAACGGCTCGGGATTCCACCGGAGGAGCTGGAAGAAGTGGCCAGGGAGAGGGAAGTCTGGGTTTCCCTGCTGAGATTGCTGCCCCCACGACCCGACCTCGGATAAGTGGAAGAAAATGAATGGATGAATGGATGGATGGACATTAAAGAATTGAAATCCAGTCTCGAATTCAGCCAGTCACAAATCGACACACTCCAAATAGAAAACAACGAACTCAAAGAGGCAGTTAAGACTCTCACCGCGCAAATCACCAACCTCGCAAACGACAATAAAACAATGCAAGAAACCATTTTGGATATACAGTGCCGCAGTATGCGCAACAATTTAATATTTACAAGAATACCGGAGCAAACACCCAACAATCCAGAACAGGTCATTAAACAATTCATGCAATCAGCTCTTAAGCTCTCGCCGGACACTGCAACCAAAATTACATTTCACCGTGCTCATCGCTTCAGAGAAAAAAAAGCCAACAGTACGAAACCGAGAGAAATCGTGGCAACTTTGAACATTATAAACAAAAAGAATTCGTGAAAAGTAAAGGGAAAGAACTAAAGGGGACTCATTTCGGACTCAACGACCAGTTCCCTAGAGAACTCCTTCCAATTATGAAACAGTTTCGGAAAAGGGGGAAACTAACCGTGGACAAGCTCTATGTAAACGGACAGCTTTACCGCGACCTAAATATCACCACCTGGCTATGACCCACCTCTGAACACAGGTGCCAATCTAGACCAAGGCATTACACGTATACCCTACTGTCTTAGCGTTCTCTCTCTCAGCGTTCTCTCTCTCTCAACGATGGGCTTACCAGCGTTTCTCATCGCTTCCTATCTCTATCTTTTTGCTTTTCACTCTTTTGAACTCTCAATCTTACTATTACACTCTCTCTCTCCTTCTTTTCACCTGTGGCTCTTTTAATGTTCAGTGTTTTTTGTTTTAACTCCTTTTTCATTTATATGTATCTGTCAAACTGTGTTAAGGGAAATGTATATGTTGTAATGCGAATAATGATGGTGAAGCTGCCTAACAAGAGTGAGTGTGTGTGTGTGTGTGTGTGTATATATATATATTTAAAGTTATTATTATTATTGCTGTTATGCTCTTGTGTATCTTGTCATATCATCCATACCATCACCATATTCATACCACATCAAAATTTGTATACATACACTTTATAAGTATCCTTAAGTTTGTAACATGGAACATTCGCTGAGCTAGTTCACAGGCAAAGCGTATCAAAATTCTGAATCACTTGACTAACTTACAAGGAGACTTATGGCTGCTACAAGAAACTCACTCAGAAGCCACAAGTCAGAAATTAAAAACCCCATAATTTAATCAAGTATACTCATCAACATACAACTCCAAAAAAAGAGCTGTCTTGATTTTAATAACCCAAAAAATTCAGTTCATAAATAATACAACTATCACCGACCCTGAGGGACGATATTAACATAACCATTAACAATACTAACTTAACTATTGCAAATATATATGGACCTAATACTGAAGACTGTCTTTTTCCATACATTTTTCCACGTATTATCAGACTTATCAGACTCTAAAATAATAATTGGAAGTGACTTTAACACAGTCATTAATCCCACTTTAGATAGACCATCTACTGCTGTTAATTTCAGAAATTGGCACTCCACTGACAAATTGAAACAATACATGGATGAATTTGGTCTTTCCAACCACTGGCACCTAAAAAAACTCAGTAAACAGAGAATACTCACACTTTTCTCCATCCCATCAATCCTTCTCACGTATCCATTTTTTTCTAGCCAACAATTCAATCATACCAGATATCTTGGAGTCCGTAATCCATCCAATCATAATTAGTTATCATGCACCGGTAACACTCCATTTAAGCATTAAACAATTTAAACAACCCACGGCTAGATGGAGATTCAACACTTCTTTGCTGCAAGATCCCGACTTTAACGTATTTTTCACCAAAGAGTGGGCATCCTTCATGGAAATAAATGATTCTCCAGAATCTTCTCCTACAATACTATGGGAAACAACCAAAGCAGTACTAAGAGGTAAAATTATATCATACTCATCCAAAAAGGAACAGGACCCTTGGGGGAAAAAAAACTCGAACTGAAAATCAAAGAGCTAAATGATGCACTTATAAGAAACCCCACTGAGCAACTTCAAGAGGAACTGTCCAAAACTAACCTACAACTAAACAGTATAAAAATTTGGAAAAAAAACTCAATTTATGATTGAGACTTAGACATGATAATTTTGAATATAACAACAAAGCTGGGAAATATCTAGCAAATCAACTTAAATGGAATAAAGAAAAATCACTTATTCCAACCATTAAAAATGCAGCAGGAAAAATCATTCAATCTCCTAAAATGACGTTTTATTTTATAAAAAATTCACTTTCATAAAAAATTGTATACCCCAGATAACGAACCAAACTTAATAGACATTAACTACTTTTTCAATAATATAGAATTACCCAAACTCAACAAAAAACAAACGGATCAGCTGGACATGCCATTAACATTGGATGAATTTAACACAGCACTTAATAAAATGCCCAACAATAAAGCTTCTAGACCTGATGGCTTCCCTGTTGAATTCTTCAAACATTTTTGGAATATAATCTCACCACTGTTTCTCAGAATGGTGCAACACATTAAATATAGTTCAACAGTCCCTTTACACATGAATACTGCTCTCATCTCTGTACTGCTGAAACCCAATAAGGACCAACCTCTCTGCTCTAGTTATCATCCCATATCACTGCTTAATACAGATCTTAAAATCATTAGCAAAGCAATAGCCTCCAGGTTAGAAACCATAACCGTAATGTATCTAGAAAAAAAACAAAAAGAAACAGTAACATTACCATTGGATGCGGAAAAGGCATTTGACAGAGTAAACTGGAACTCTTTACTTGCAACACTACACAAATTTGGTTTTGGAGAGTCATTTATTCATTGGGTGCAGACATTGTACAGCTCACCAACAGTTGTTACTAATGGTATAACATCACAGAGTTTCACACTGCACAGGGGAACCAGGTATGGATGTCCACTCTCGCCATCACTTTTCTCCCTCTTCATTGAACCTCTTGCCACTGCAATCCGACAAAATAACATCATCAAAGGAATACAAACACTCAACACCCATCACAAGATTAGTCTCTATGCCGACGATATATTACTTTATCTGCAAGAGCCTTTAAACTGTATAAATGAGACTATCACTCTAATTTGTTTTCCAAACTCTCTGACTACGCTATAAATTGGACAAAAATCAACAATTCTACCTATAATTGGTGACAAATTACAAAATACTCTTCAAAACCTACCTTTTCAAATTCCAATTGGTAACATCAAGTATAAAGGCATAAATATTTCAGCCAGCCCATCTGAATCATCCCCCTTAAATTTCAGTCCCTTATTAAAACAAAATAGAGGATGATTTGAACCGTTGGATACACTTTCCATTATCATTAATTGGCAGAATTGCAACAGTAAAAATATTTATATTACCCAAAATTAACTACCTGTTCACAATGATACCAACCGCACCAACCACTAGATGGTTCAACTTACTGAACTCAATAATTAACAAGTTCTAATGGAAAAACAAAACACCCAGAATCAGACTAGCGACATTGCAGAAACAAAAATCTCAAGGAGGATTAGAAGCACCAAACTATGAAAATTATTATTTAGCAAGTCAGCTACAATATATTGTCAACTGGATACATCCAAACTAACAGAATAACCAGTGGTTAGAAATTGAACAGTCTGAATGTAAAGAAGATTTACTTGCAGATCTCTACCATTTCTTAGCATTGCTCTAAAACACCACAGTTGTTTTAATAACACTGTAATTCAACAACTTTGACAGCCTGGTGGAAAATTAACAAAATTTTTAACGTAAATATGAAACCTTGCAAATACACTGCAATATGGCATAACCCAGACTTTCTACTCAACAAAAAACATTTTTCTTTAATGCATGGAAACTAAAGGATATCACACATCTTGAGCACCTATTCCATAACAGCAGCTTTATCACTTTTCTCATATGTATGATATAGGAGACGAACTGTTTCTTCATTATCTCCAACTTAAAGCAGCCCTGAAATCTAAGACCAGTCTATCTAACAATCTACAGCCATCCCAATTGGTAGAAGAAATACTCAAAATAACAAATCAGAAAAAAATCGCAAATTCAATGATTTCCATTCCAATCGAAGCCTGGGAAAAAGATTTGTCATTCACTCCTGATAATGAATTCTGGCTCCAAATCTGTACAAACACCTTCACAATGACTAATAACACTAATCTTTAACTTATACAATATAAAGTGATCCACAGAGTACACATCACCCAGCACAAAATGCACAAGATGGGATTTTATTTGTGATATTTGGGAGTGATATTTGTTTACTTTAAAAACTGTAGATGACCATTTCCACTCCATCTGGCCATGTCCCCCAACTCAACACTTTTGGCAAAAAGTCATCAACACAATCTCTTGTATTATGAATCGTATCATTCCGCTATCCCCATCCCTCTGTCTGCTTGGTGACCATTCAACAATAAATCCAGCAATCACAAATTTCAGATCTCTACTCGTGGCCTTGGCAATTGCCAAAAACACAATCCTGTTAAACTGGAAAACTAGAAACACACTAAACATCATGCAGTGGTCAAACCTAGGTCAGAGAACACATATTAATGGAAAAAATAACATTACAGCATCAACTTCCACATTTCTAAGAAGTCTGGGGTTCTTTTATCACCTCTCTAGACTTCCCTGTGAACTAACTTCCAATAAACACATACATTATATTACATCCCAACTTAAAACTATTAACTAACTAATCTAATTAATTCCCAACATTCCCACATATCATATATTTATTTATTTATCTGATACAAATATACATACACCTAATTTCTGTCTGTCTGTCCATTGGTGTGTCAATGTCCTAAGTCCTGTAAAGTCTCTCTCTTCTCTCTCACTTCCTATTTAATTTTATTATTTATTGTCAAAATAAATGTTTTTTTGTCATGTCTTGTCAAGAGTATGTGGGTGGGTGAGGTACAGCTTCACTAAAGTTTTGTACCTGAAACTGTCATTAAAAACAAAAGTTGTCCTCAAAGAGGGAGGTGGCTGGGCAAAAAAAAAAAAAAAAAGAAAAATGCCAAACTCAAAATGAGTTTCATTAACGATGTTTTGACTTAAAAGCTGAGGCCTCTGGTAGTGCTCTCCTGGCACAGGGGGAGGGACGCCGTCCTTTGAGTGACATTGCCTGCTAAAAATGAGCCATTACATTAGGCACTTTCACACAGCAGGAACTTTTTTCAGGAACCAGAACCAGGAACTTTTGTTGTGTTCACACCGCAGGAACTCGGCCCGATTGCAGTTTCTTGGAAGCAGTTCTGGAACCCTTTTTTAGTACTTACTCCAGACTAGGTATTTATCATTTGAACATGAGCTACTGGGAAGGTGCTTACAGCAATACTTGCCAATTGGTTAAGCACAAGCACTGGTGTTAATTTGGAAGTTACGTGGAAGTGTGGGAAAAAGAGATAGGAGCAAAGCAAAATATATACATAATCTCCATATTTCTGCATCGGAAAATTCGATCACTAACCAACTTTTGTCTAATATGTGGGCCTGTCCAGCTGATCCAGAATCAGCATGCACACACCTGCTCCTCTTCTTGACCTGTGCTGCATAGTCCACTTGTCCCTCCTCCCAGATGTCCTCGTCCTCCTCGTCCTCCTCGGCATCATCAAACGGCCGTATCCGCTCCTTGCAGCAAGCCTCAAACATGGTGACGTTGGCCTGCTTGGTGCGGGGAGAGGCAGTCAATCGATAAGCTGGTCCGGCAGTGAAACGACTGGGGTTGACGCGGCAAAACGCTTTGCTCGCAAAATACTCTGCACATGTAGGAGAATGAGACACTCACAGTGTCATCGTCCACATCTAAGCTGAAGTTAATCTCCGCAATCCTGTCAAACGTAGCACTGAAACAAAAGGGGAAGACTCAAATTATTTTTAAGACTTCATCATCCCATACAAAATCACTTTGGATTTCAGTGTCTAACTTAAATGGCCAATAGATACTTCGATTTCAAACCTACTTGATATTGTCATCGTGCTCAGCGAATTCCTCATCGTTGAAACCAAATTGATCCACAAAGTTGGCCGTCATCTGCTGGATCTGGTAGTCCGAGAAGGCCTGTGGAGAAGCGATAGACATGTGTCCCGATGACGTGTGGTGACCCTCCACAATCCCCCAAACAGGCGACGGACCGCCCCCCCCCCCCCCCGCCCCCGCCTACCTGCTGCAGAGACATCTCGTTGGGGAAGGGGCCCTCCAGGTCGTCGTCCTCGCTGGAGGAGTGCAGGTTGTGTGTGCTCACCTGGAACGAGGCAAGGAGGGAGTCAGGGGAAAGACTGGGGAGCGATCTTCTGTGATCAAAGGGTTGCCAGTTCAAATCCCAGGGTGATGTCACTGTTGGTCCCCAAAGTCCCTTGACTTTAACGTGTTTTACAAACGTCACCCCCTGCAGCCCATGTACCAGGTCCGCCGTGTTTCTCCTGTTGGTCTCCGCCAATGTCTCGTCCACGAATCTCTCCCAGCGTCCCCTGCAGTCCTCGGGCAGATCTGAGACACGGGGGACAGAAGGGTGACGGCGTGTCACCTCGTATCCCGACAGCAGCCCAGAGATGGCCCCGTGTTCCCATAGCTCGTTCTGGACCCTGAATCACTGAAACCCCGCCCCCTCTGGGGAATCCATCAGCCACTCATCAGTTGGCTCTGAGTGGGCATGTACGGATGGACCCCCATCCGGGCTGAGGCCATCAGCACTAAGCCCGACTCCAAACGAACTGAACCATGTGGGCCGAGGGAGCGGCCATCCTGCAGGACGCAGGAGGGCGGGAGAGACGAGAGTGACTGAACTGAAACCATGACGGCCATATTCCAGGATGAACACAGAAGCTGTGATGGGGCAGGCAGGGTGGAAATGCCCCTGTGACTCACACTCATCAGAACAGGGCAGAGTGGCACGCAATGCCAAGCCATTAATAATCATTAATTAATAATTAGACGTGTTAATAATAAAAGCATAGAGGCACTGATGCAGCTGCCCAAAAACAGCCAGAAAAACATGCACCTGTACAGTAGGAAACACTCACTGTGACCAACCCCTCTACCGCCTTTATCTGATGATAAATGTGCAGAGCATGGCAGCTTAAAGCAAGGAAGAAGTCAAATAAAGTAAGAATGCAGCTCGCGCTCATCGCTGGCAGTGCAAGTATACAAGAGAGAGCTGCTTAGAAAGATCTAGTGCGCTCAAGGAAACAACTACGGACAAATAATCATGAACATGAAAGAACATGGACAGTAAGCTCCTCACACACCTTTGATGATGTCGCTGATCTGTACCTGGGCGGGGCCTTTCTCCGTGTTCTGCACCACACTATTGGCTATTCTGGTCAGGTGGCCCATGTAGCCCCGCCTCATGCCACCATCTGCCCTGCAAGACAAACTCTCTTTAAAAAAAGCCCAACAGATCATGTCGACAGCGGGGAACACCGTTCAAAATACTGCTTCTACACTGTCGTATGTCCACCTGATCTACTTTACCAGACACCGGACACTAACAAGTCTGTACTGTAGCACCACTGACACGAGGCTCTACTGCAGCTGCACTGATGCATGGTTTCTATAGTAACAGCAGTGACACTCCTGACTATCAGGCTTCTACTGTGACCGCAAAGACACGGGCAACTAACAGGTTGGTACTCTAGCGGACGTTTGCTATGGCAGTTGTTCTGACAGAGAAGGTCTCAACGCACAAGGTTGCGAGGAGGTCTCTGTGGACAGAGGAGGTCTCTGTGGAGACCACCTCTGTCGGCACTGTCTCTCCACAGAGACCTCCTCTGTCGGCACTGTCTCTCCACAGAGACCTCCTCTGTCGGCACTGTCTCTCCACAGAGACCTCCTCTGTCGGCACCGTGTGCAAGGAGACCTTCTCCACCTCGGTGGGACCAACAGAGGAAACCTCCATGGCGACGGCGCAGAGAGAGGTGTCTGCAGTGAGACGGCGCTGAAAGTTGTCTCCACGGCCACGGTACTGACAGAGGAGCACCAACAGAGGAGGTCTCCGGAGAGACGGCACTGACAACGGTGACTGATAGGCTATGAGTCTCACAGGCCCTGAACCACGGTGTGACTCTTACTGTATTTTGTCATTCTCTTCCCAGGCGTCAAGGATCCTCTGCACCAGGTGGCACGTCTGGAACAGCTGTGGGGGACACCAGGAACCTTAACCTATCCCTCAACACCCACCCACTGCAAAATAAACCACACCCACTGCAGACAAAACACACCCACCCAAAAGACAAGCCCAGCAGTGTCTAGCGTATTAGCACCACATGAACACCATGCCCCTCCTGAGTTTGTGAAACCACCATTTGTCTGTGTGGGAGTGCATAGGTGTTACTGCAACAACGATCGCTGAAACAGACAATGAAACACGAGACACGGCAATAAAAAACATAAAAATGATTCCTGCACAATACTGAGCCGGTACCCACTGTGTTTAATAGCTGTTCTTAGAACAGATTCAGGCGTGTGCATTGATAAATGTAATGAAGTGGGAATGTAGCTCTGGGGGCAGTGGGGGGGAAGGTGGCGAGAGAAGGCTGCTCTGCCCTACATGGGTCACCAGCACATGTGGCTGGGGGGTGTCGGGCTGGTGCGTGCTGCTGTCCAAGGTCTCCGGGGGCTCCTTGCTTCCCAGACTCCTCTCAGGGTTCTCCTCCTGGCTGGGCTGGTTCATGATGACTGTCACACACAGCTCCACTTGGAAGTGCAAGAAATTATTCCAGGTGTATTTAAAAAATAAATCCTGCAGGCCAGAACAGGAAGGGGATAAAGGTACGATGCAAACATAACATGGAAGCCTTACCGCTGATTAAACAGGCACTACGTTTCCCAGCATGCACCATACCCTGACCTGGCCCCTCCCCCATAAGATCACACCCCTCACACTCACAAGTAGCAGGTCCACGGTGTTGAGGCGGCACAGCTCTGCTGCCACGCCAGGCGTGCAGCTCTGAAGCAGCGCTGCCACCAGGTGGGCAACATGCAGTCGCGCGTTGCCCAGGGGCTCCTCCAGCACGCCCAGGCTTGTCAGCATGGCGCATTTCTGCCAGGGCAGACAGCAGGAGGTTATGGGGAACACAGCACCACCTATGGACCACAGAATGAGGTGCAAGGGCGGGGCTTATCATGATGATACCTTGGGAGGGTCCAGGAGAACCTGGTGGAAGTCCTTCAGATGAGGCTCGATGCCCTGTAACACGCTACTATTGACAGTGTGAGATCGTTCGTATCCCTGAGAGCACAGATCCATCAGGCCTTCAATCCTGCGACAGGGGGGGGGGGTGTCAGTCTGGCCGCTCTGCTGGCCCCAGGGCCCCGCAGGGATGCCAGCATGCCATGCCACTCACCCCGGCCGCCGGGTTTCGAGTAACGTAAGGAGCACTTGGGTCCCGCTGACGATGCACACCTCGCTGCGCTCTCCTGAGAACATGTTCTGCAGGAGCTTCTCCACGGTCTGCTGCCTGTGGGGGGGGGGATGGACAACAGAGGTGCTGAGTATCACGTCTCCGGTCAAAGGAACAGGACCCCAAATCCCAGAAAAGGCCCTGCTGACCTCAGTACAATGTGCGTTATACCTGATCTGTTCTATGCAACAGGTACACAGGCAAATATGAGAGTCAACAGTGGGAAGAGACAGACAGACAGGACGAGACAGACAGGACGAGACAGACAGGACGAGACAGACAGGACGAGACAGACAGAACGAGACAGACAGACAGAACGAGACAGACAGACAGGACAGAGACAGACAGACAGAACGAGACAGACAGACAGAACGAGACAGACAGACAGGACAGAGACAGACAGACAGGACAGAGACAGACAGACAGACAGACCGACCACAATCACAATGCATGTGCTTATGTTATAAAATTTATACAATTTCATTTTATGCAGTTATACAATTTCAGGATTATATGTTCCTCGGTTTCCTGTTGGGGATTAATAAACTTAATATTCCGCTTGTTTCTAAAAGCACCCATTCAATGCATTATGTTGGCTGTATGATATATCTATGAAATATTCACACAAATGCACATATGAATCATCATACTTTCTGGTAACTTTATAATAAACAGACCGGCCCTTGGCAGGTGTTGCACGGTACTGCAAACTCAACACTCTACTTACGCCTCAAGCTTGGTGAGCAGTGGGTCCGTCTGCGCAGGTTCTATCTGTTCTTGCAGCGACACACTCCCGTCCCGACTCAGACGTATGATGTCACACAGGGTCTGTGAGGCATTGGACTGCCTCTGCGACACACAGCATAGCGTCAGGACACGGGCCGCTCCATCTGGGACTGGCACAGCGCCGCCCGACACAGGACCGCTCCGCTGAACCACCCCTTACCTCCTCATCCTCCTCGCTGTGGACTAACCCCACCAGGCGCTCGATTAGATTCTCGCCGTTCAGCCACTGGTGGAGAGAACATAGTGACAGTGCTTCGAAACATCTCATGTCTAAAAGAACAAGATTAGTAAGGCATTGATGAAAAACCACTAAAATCATCCATCCATCCATTTACTGTTTACGAAGTAAAGGGTCAGGAGGGTTTGGAGCTCATCTAATGCAGGGGACACCTGGGATGAGACGCTAATTCATCATGGGGCGTGCGTGCACACACACACACACACACACACACACACACACACACGCGCACACACGTGCACACACGCACACACACATGCACACACACACACACACTATTATGGAGTATTACTCCACCACACTACCCAGCTCCTTCATCTAGAGCCTTCTGAGGCTGAACGCTTTGTTGGTGGTCTGTTCTCAAAGGTATTTATAGCTCATTATTCACTGTGGTCAAGAGGTGCGTCGTAATGGGGATATTAAAACAGAAATTATACTCATGAAAAGTTTAGTTAATCCTTCATGAGGACCCTGGGGACAGAGAGGGAGGGCTTCAAACGGCCCGTCAGACAGTTCAGTGCCAACCTGCCTCTGATTCACGGCCCGTCAGTGCTCAACTGAATAGGTCGGGTTCACTAGTGTAGAGCTCAGAAGTTTCCCTCCCCTGCCCCTAGGGGGAGCTCTGCCTTTACGACAGTCTCAGACTGACTTCTTCGCGTGGCGGTGCTTTCGACACGGCCAGAGGGGGGGCATGTGCTTCCCTTTCAAATGGGGGAAGTGAATCAGACACGGGCTACGAAGACCGAACAACTGATATCAAGATGCGTGACTGACAACTGTCACATGAAGGCACCACAGAGAACATCCTGAAACTCAAATTAAAGCAAAGGTTTTTTTTTTGGTATACAAATTAATCTCCAAGGCATCCTCTAAAGAATAAATAAACTAGTGCTGTCAAAAGTTACGGGTTAACGCAGATTAATCCATCATCATGATTAATCTGATTTAAAAATTTTACGCAATTAACTCATCTGCAGCGCAGAATGACTTAAAATCCCTGAAATGTCTCTGTCAACCCATTTCGGGCAGTTTTGGTGCGTTCCATTTGCCCGCGGAACTCGCATTCCGAGTCGGATTCCGAGTTTTGAAGCCGGAAGTGACAACATGCGCGGTCCTGTTTCTTGGAGATCCGAGAAATATCTCGGAGCATCACAGAGGTTACAAAGTTCAGAATTCAAGATGGCTGCGCCCCTTATCAACAGAAGGGAAAGTTGTAGTTTTATACTGTTTAAGCACTACTTCTCATTTGTGGCTCATTAAATCGGTCGCATACACTATACCGTCCAACTTATCTGTGGACGTGTTGCTACAGAGTTTTATACGTAAAGTACCGCGTGTAATGTGTTATCAACTGATATTGCTAAATTAACTGGGCTAGAATTGGATTCATGATTAGTCGATTATTTGTCGGATTTATGGTAGTTCGGGTTAACTGTAAGTGAACGAAGATAAAGACCATTTAAACTGAGGTACCTTAAATCCGACAACTTGTCCGGCTAAGCAAAAAATCTTGCTTTTTGATATGGGTCCATGG